GGTTTAGGATGCAGGGTTTGGGGTTAGGATTCGGGGCTAAGGGTTTAGGGTTTAGCATTGAGGGTTTAGGATTTATCGCATGTGAGAAAGTGGCCCTGCAAACCCTTCTTCTTGGCTCTTTGTTGAGACTGATGAACATATAATACGGGGACTCTATCGGGATTATATTCCCTTACTCCCCACTTTGAACCAGTAGGCTGGCTCTCAAATTCTAGAACATGCTGCGCCGGCAGCACAGCTTTCATATGCCAGGGGCGCGCCTTCGTCTTCGATGCGTCCGCATCTGGTTCAGGCCTCAGGCTACATGGTGTTCCATGTTCGCCTCTGCGGCTCGCCTTATATGCCGAAATGCAGTCTCCATCCTGCAGCACTGCCAAGTCTTCGAGCCTTTTCTTTCGTAGAGCTACATGGGATGGAAATCGTTTGCAAGCTCGCCTGTATGATTTCGCCCAGCAGATTGCGCACAAAAGCCATGTAACTGCTTGCCAGTAAGAAGCCTCACAGCCATGGCAGTGGATCGGTACACCCACGGCCACCACAGCAGCGTCGTTGCACAGCATTCTGCCCGAACTGCCGAAGACTGCGCGAAGTTTCTGCTGCCCCACCTGCAGGAGGACTTCTCCCTTTTGGACGTCGGCTGCGGCCCAGGCTCCATCACCCGAGGCTTTGCGAAGTACGTCAAGTTTGTGAAGGGTGTGGACAACTCAGAGACGGTGATTGCTCAAGCACGCGATGCAGACACTGGCGAATGTGGCGAAGGGAACGTCGAGTTCGAAACAGCGAGTCCGGCACCCAGCAGCAGAGCCCTTTGCAAGGCGATGGGATTTGGCTTGGTTGTACTGGATAGCACAGCCCCGTAGCTGAGGCATCTACAGTCTGCCTTATGAGGACTCCACCTTCGACGTGGTGTTTGCCCACCAGGTGTTGCAGCATTTGTCTGAGCCAGTTGCAGCTTTGCAGGAGATGCGGCGTGTCTGCAAGCCAGGGGGCCTCATAGCAGTCAAGGATGCGGTGTATTCCACGATGCGGGGATATCCTGCACTGCGGGGAATTGACAAGTGGCGGGACGTCTATATGGCCACCGCACGCCAGAACAAAGCCGAGCCTGATGCAGGGCTGTTCTTGAAGGAATGGCTGCTATCTGCGGGGCTTCAAGACGTTGTATATATGAGCTCAACGGTAACTCATTCGTCTTCCAATGAAGAAGCCAGGAAGGCCTGGGGAGAATCCTGGGCAACACGTACGATCCACTCCTTTGGGAACCAGGCTTTGGAATATGGCCTTGCCCAGGAATCAGAGTTGCAAGACATTGCCTCTGAATGGAGGCAATGGGCCGCTGATTCAAATGCAGTTTTTCTGTATGTCAACGGAGAATGCTTGGGCAGAAAGTAGATCTCAAGTTCTCCTCAGCCGAACGCTTGTATGTGGTCAAAGATCTTCTCAGCACATCTACCTGACGCTCAACAGGCGCAAGAGCTCAGCACCACCGAAGAGCAAGGATGCATTGCTGATCAACGCCTAGGCGCAAATCAAAGGCCAGACCATCTCGAGTAGCAGAGGCATCCCTTCTGACCAATTTAGATTGCTGGGCAAAGAAAGAGGGCTTTGTCTGCATCGTTCAGCTTGCAGATGTACTCCTCACCAGCAACGAGGCCCAGAGTAGCTTGCAATGACTTGAATGCAGCTATTTGAGGACTTCGTTCGTGCCCAACAAAGTTTGGGACCTTAGCATGCTGACGGCTGCCCACTATGCTTTACTGCCACTCTGGACCTTGGCAAGGATAAGTGCATCTGAGGGTTGCAATGGCCATGCTTTCTCAGATGCTGCTGGCCTACTTCAAAGGAAGGTGATTCCTAGACAAAACCCAGATTGCTGTGAGAAGCCGTACCCCTTCATTTGGGACAATGATGCCAACTATGATGACACACTTGCCTTCCTGTACTTGGCTAACAGTCCCAACTTGGACTGGAAGGCTATCACCGTTGAGGCGGTTGGCATGGCAACTCCGCACGGAGGACCGACCAACATTGCAGCTGTGGCGAAGCTGCTGGGGAAGGAAAACGTGCCCATTGCATTCGGACAGGAGCACAGCCTCAGCCCGGTTGCAACGATGCCCTTGCAGTGGCGCGTGGAGTTGGACGGCTTCTTTGAGAGCATGTTCCGCAACAAGACCTTGGAGGAAACCGATGCAGCTGTCTCTGACCTATCCGCCGCAGAGCTCATCTTGAAAGTCTTAAAGGAGTCGGAGTGTCCGGTCGTGATTTTGACGACAGGGCCTGTTACAAACCTTGCCGCCGCTCTTGAGGCAGACCCTTCTGTGGTAGAGAATATCCGTTCGGTTTTTATGATGGGTTCTGCGTATGGAGTTCCTGGCACGAATAACGTGTACGATTGGCAGATGACCTTCAATGGCGTCAAAGGGTCCTGCAATGAGGATGGTGGCCAAACTGACACAGGCCTCTCTCCTCCCCTCGTGGTGGATGGTGACAAGGTCCTAGTTCGGCCAGAGTGTCGCGGAGTTGACATGTCTAAGCATGGAGACACGGAGTGGAATGTTTTCATGGATGTGCGAGCATGGCGCATGGTCTATGGTTTCCTGACAAGCTCCAAGGCGGATGTCTATGTTCTTGCAGCAAATGCAACGTTAAACTTGCCTGTTGTGCTAGACGAGATGGAGGAGTACGCAAGTACCATCTTTGATCCAGCTCTGCGCATTTTCACGGTGGCACTTGCCCAGGCATTCCTTGGAGCTGGAGAGGCAAAGTGGTGGGATGCCCAATGCGCCGTGGTTATGGACCAAGTGCTTTCTGGCCAGAGCATTGGCGTTTGCTCCAAGTGGGCACAACAAAGGACCACCAGTGTCTCGCTGGTCTGGCGCTCAGACCTGAACGACACGGAACTGAACCCGTATGGCAGCATCTACGATGATGCGGATGCACACGCTCCACCCATTGATTACTGCCTGCAGGGGAACGCTACGCAGATGTGGGAGGTGTATTGGCCAGTGGTCAACGAAACGGGGCAGTGAGGTATGTCCTGAAATGAATGCTTGGCCAGTCTTCAGGCACACGTTAGTTTGAGCTGGACCTATGCATAAATTTTAATCACTTATGGCGCATGCTACCGCCTCTGCTGGTGATGATGCCCAGACATGGGAGATGTGCCAGCCAAAGGTCAATCAAGACGAGGCAACCGCAAAAGCGCCAAAAGACACGCCCGGTTGTTTCTGTGCCGTCTGAGCATCCGTGCGAGTCTTCCTTGGCTGCAGTAGCCGCTGAGGATACATCCGTGGAGATTGTGTGGCCTCCCTTGTGCTGAAGGCCCAGTTTACAAGTTATGCTTGTGAGGGATAGGACCAGATGCAGTTCACCATCAATTCCAATTGCTGTTAAGCACCCACCTTGATCTTGAGGACTTTGGATTGCAAGCAGTGCATGTGCATACCCAAGCATTTCAGGGCCAGTTTTGGTTGGCCGTTCAATGGTAAATTGTGTGGGCAAATCGGAGTCTGACAGTAGTGGGGCGATTGTCCGTCTCACGGGCAAGCAGGGGAACAGCAACCGTGGAGTAATGGAGGAGCAGCTTCGTCTGGCACTTTTTGTGTTATACAGGGAACAACGGAAAATAAAGTGGAAATTACTATCATGGGCTATATTAGGGTCATATTGGGGTTATATTGAGGAAAATGGAAAAGAACATGGAAACTACTATAATGGGTAAGGCCTATTGCTGCTTTTTTGGGCAAAGAAGAAGTCCCACAGACAGATCTTCAGGCAAGCTTCTGAACACATATTTTTTTACTCAAATCCAAGTTGCTGATAGCATTTGCGCTTCCAGCGAAGATAAGATGCTTCTGCTAAGGCACTCTTCAAAACATTTTCCATTGTTTGGATATGAAAATGGGAGTACATAGAGGTGATAGGGGGTATGCAGGAAGAATAGAACATCAAATGGACAAGAAATGGAACATTACATGGAAACTGGTGTTATATGGGGCGTTTATTGGGATAGTTGCTACGCTCCCGCAAACTTGCCAAGCTTCATGCCAAAAGCCTCAAGTCTTGTCCAAATTTCTCGGGAACCTGGTGGCCGGGAAGGTGCTGATAAACAGGTGGTCGACATCATTGTACAGCGCAGCACAGCAAGAGTTTGTTTGGAGTGTTTACGTAGGATGTATGCGCTACGAGAAATGATTTTGCAGGCCGGCAACGTCGAGGGAGAGGAGCTGAATTGAGCCCAACGTGAGTCCAACATGCTGGCATGCAGACTGCCTGTTTGTATCCTCTGGCTGTCAAGAAGGAGAGCAACGAGCTTGGATATTTGGCTGGAAGTGCCACAAATCAAAGTGGCAGGCCTGCAGGGGCTACATGTTGTCTTGATTATGGCGGCCTTGATTCAGAAGAATCTGGGAGGGCTGCTTGATGAGAGTCTTGCGGTCCAACATAGTTGGCGTAGCGAACATTCTCACTGGCCTACCGCCGCAAGAAATTGGGTTCCTGGGCATGTACCCTAAAGGCCACAAAACCCCAGGCTGAAGGGCAGCTGCTATGCAAAATTCTGAAAGCATCTCTCCCTTCAAAACAGTAGCTATTTCTTCGTTTCAAAGACAATGCTGCCAGGATGCAAGGTTGGTTTCAGCCAAGCTCATGTTTAGCAGGAGAAGCCACCTTGCGGCCCCGGACTGCCTAGCGCTGCAGGAAGTGATCCACGAGGCATTCGCTTGCTTGCTTGCTTGCTTGCTTGCTTGCTGCGAATGGCTGTCTTAGGGCTGACTGTGGCCTGATGCCAGGCAGTGCGACAGACGCAGATTTCGCCGCTGGATGTCGATGCTGTGGAAAGCTTTGCTGACGCAAAGATCCTTCATGATTCTCTGGAGGTGTGGAGGATGACCAACCTGCGCAGCTTTGTAGTAGCTACTCATGGACAGAATCTGTTGCATCACGATTTGACATGTCAGGCAACTGCGTATGCACGAGCATATCGTCCACAGGCAATGGGGCCTCTTCAATTGCTGAAGCATAAGTCTGGCTAAGTGCGGAACAGATCACACCGTTTGGCCGGTTTAGCTTCTAGGTTCCTCACATTCATGGGAGCTTGTGCCAAGCAGATCTGCCTTGGAGGGGACCGTGAACGTCGACGAGTCAGCTCCACTTGCAATCATCTCTGCCAAATCTGGCGCGCAAAGCTCGGCGCGGGCACCATTCTTCCGCGGGCTGCATGCATTCCTCGCAAAGGCCGGCAACCAGCTGGAAGCCATGGGCTTGTCACAGATACTCAAGGCAGGGCAGGGGTGACAGTCTCATGCGCGGACCCTGAACGGTGACGCGTCCTCAGGTGATTCTGGGATCACGCAGCGCGCTCAGGGTCTTCTGCAGCTTCCACGGCTTTGCAGCTGCGCGGGGGCTTCCCCAGCGCATCCTCAACGACTGGTTGATATTCTGCTGTGCGTAGACTGTATAACCTGGTGACTCGGTGAAGAAAGCAGAAAGCCTTGTGAAGTGGGTCCCTTTGGGTGGCACATACAGTCCTCCAGGTCGGGCTGCTCCGGCATGCATCCCCAATTGTGTCATAGTGTGTGTGTTTCTCCAGCAGTCACCCCGAGGTGTGGCAGCTATCCAGCCTACACCACATCTCAGGTTGGACAGGGTAGGAAACCAGAAGCTGGCAAAGCATTTTCTTGTCAGGATCATGAACCCCCACATTGACTTGGAGATGTGTGACAGGTTGCGGCCTGACATCTGACAACAAGCACTCGAAGTCCTGGTTAGCACGTAGTTTGCACCGCTGTTGTTTCAAAGGAATGCTGTGCTTCCCAGCGAATGCCTTGACTTCCGACTGACGTCAACTTTCACAGGCGGGATGCTCAGACTGCCTTGCCCCTCTGATGGTTGGGGTACCGTGGCTCCGAGCTCGCGATGTGAACCTTCGCGCCGCACGTTCAGCTAAGGAATCCTGAACCGCAGCATCGCTGGGACCAACTGTCATGCAATCATCTTTGCCAAGGCTGGGTTCAGAGACTTCAGGCCCTTAGCAGCAGCTTTGGCTTGTTGCAGGTGCCCACGGAGATCTACCGGCCCAGGAAGCCCATGCTATCGACGTACAAGGCCTTTCTGGCTTCTGGCGCAGCTTTTGCCCTGGTAGGCCTGGGGATGAAACGAGCCTGTGCAGTGCTGAGCAGGAGCCCATTCAGCCGATTCTCTTCTGGCCCAAGGGAGGCCACTGCCTCACTTTGCAACGAAAGTACTGTCAGTGGCAAGAGATGGATCAACTTGCTGGATTTCGAGGATGCTGTCAGTTGCAGCCTTGCATGAGGCGGCGCGCTGCCAGAAGATATGCAGCCGCGGATGGGGTACAGCATCATGGGCACCTTCAACAGGCATCAGGGGCTGCCAAAATTCGGGGCCAACCTCGATCACCGGGATTCTGCGCAAGATGTGGCTTGGTCATGCTTGGTCTTTTTGTTACAGGTGGCGCCCGCAGCCCATGCAAGCAGAGGGCCCAGGTGTGTACGGGGCCACCGTCATCCTGAGTGAAAACAGGCCGGGCAATGGCTGGAAGGACCAGAAGCGTTGGGTAGTTGAGCTTGTCAAACTTAGCAGACATGTGCCGGTTGGTTGTCTACAGGTGGGAGCGTTTCCAAATTGCCGTTGATGGAGATGCCACGCGGGTCCTTCACCCGATCCTGCCCCAGGCAGGCTGTAAAGCCAGCAAAGCATGTTCGCAGATGTCTTGATGCCAGGGCGACAAGTGCTGCCCAGTTGCTGGTCCCGAGGCCGCCAAGTGTTGGGATCGGACATGCTGCCTCTCTGCATGTCCGCTAGCATGATTCCGTTTTGGTGTATTCTGGTTCTTGAGCCCATGTCACAGTTTGGCTAGTTCGGCTACCCACTGCAGCTCGCCCAACAGGCCGCGCTTCAGATTCTGAGCTGGCACATCGAGGGCCGCAGAGCACTCGAACCGCAGGCAAACGCAAGGAAACTATTTTGGATCTTGCAGGTTTTGATTGACAATGGCCCTTGCTGTCATGCTGTTGGATGGTGTCTAGCACCTGCTATTCTTTCCGCCTTCAGTCATGCTGGGGGGGTATATATAGCGGTTATATAGGGGATGTATTGGGGATATATTGGGATAATGGAGAAGAAAATGGAAACTACTATTTAGGGTTTAGGCTTACGAGTTTAGGGTTTAGGGTTTGGGGTTGTATCCAGGCAGACTACCCGCCGGACAGTGGCCAGCTGAAGCAGCTCACCAATGGTGCTTGGACGGTGCGGGCAATGAACATGTGCTGCATGGCACTCACCCCATGTACTACAATCTATTACATTAAAAGACCAGAATATACTATAATGTATTATGTGAATATCTCCTAATGTACA